TCTATCTATCTATCTCTCTATCTATCTATCTAATTAGCATATTTATCATTTCAGTATCCAGAGAATGTCCACAGTTATGAAAAAAATATTTGAGGTAACCACAGGGAACTTTATCCCCCTTCACTGATAAGAAGTTTTATTTTTTTTTGCATGGTGCTTAAAAGGATTTGTGGCTGCAGTGAGCAACTGTTGCCTGTTGGTGGTTTTCAGACCGCTCTCTAAGCCCACGGTGTGTTTGCCTCTACAGAATCCTGCCAGTTTTTAAAGTGCTGCCCGCCTGCGGCCAAAACATTGCCCTACATACAGATATATGCAAATATTCAGCTGAGATCTCAATCACATCATAACTGACTAAATCCTTAAAGTATATCCTTCACTTCGTGGCCGTTGAAAACATGGTTTGATTCTGTATTTAGTGATTTCCTTTTTAAACAACTGTTCCTGTGTGTTTGTGTGGATTCTCTCTGTGCTTTTCTGATGCTGTTTGTAGCTTTGGCCCACATTTAAAAAATGCTCCTTTATGGATTGATTACAAGGTTATTTGTGATTTTAATTAGATTAATTGCCTTTTACAAAGAAGCCTAATTTCGAAGAGATTAAGGTAATTACATTGCCCAATTTTAAAGGCTATGCTTCTGTTTGAATGTCTTGTTTAATCAGAACATCCTCCTCTTCACTGTCCTAGCTCTGTATGTTTAAATCTACTAAACAAGCCGGTTATTGGTCCTGGGTGTTGTCCTGTGGCTTGATGCGACATCATGATTCGTCATGCACAGGAGAACAGCTTGGTTCTGTTTGGTTGCTTTTGCAGTCTTGCAGGGGAAGGCAAGGACAGGTCATCTACTTTAATGTGTGTCCACTTTATAGAACTTTAAAGCTTCATCCAGTGTTTTACACAAACCTAATTTGACCTTTAGTGGCAATCTATCAATTTCTTTATTGTCAACTACAATTTGCAATGTAATTGAGATTTCAGTTTCAGTACATTCATTAGTGCAAGATCATTTTGTCGCTGACAGTGTAAAGCAATTTGACCCGTCCTTCTGTTTCTATTTCCCGCTCTGTCAGGACTGAATATGCAAACAGGAAATAAGCTGATGTTTCAAGGCTGTCATAGGCTTGTTTTCCAGATCATTATGTAACTCCTGTAATGTTACATGTCTGTTACCGTGCATGACGAACGTCTGGGTTTAATGAATACTTCCCCTTCTGTCTTTGTTTCCTGCAGTGATGTGTGGTCGTTGGGCTGTGTCCTCTACGAGCTCTGCACCCTGAAACACCCGGTACTTGCCTTTCCCCTCTCTGACTTAGCTAAAGGCCTCTGTCCAAATATTTATCAGTCAGTTGTTGACTAAAATCACTGAGATCCTGCATAGCTTTGTTATTTAATGTCAGGGGCTCCATATTTTCAGCTGGGTTAGATTACCCTCGTGTGTTTTTTTATATTGTTTTAGATGTTCTGGTTTGGTTTGTTATCTCAGGAGTCCTGACTCTCATTTCCTGTGTCCAGTTCCAGGCGTCCAGTTGGAAGAGCCTGATCCTTAAGGTGTGCAGAGGTGCGTACCCTCCGCTTCCCAAACACCTGCCCTATGAGCTGCACTACCTAATCAAGCAAATGTTCAAGACCAACCCAAAAGACAGGCCGTCGGTGCAGACAATCCTGACTTCCCACAGGATTTCGAGACTCCTGCGCTCACATCTGCCCTCACAGGTAGAAAGACACAAGCAACTCTGGACCTAAAATGATTTTACAACTCACTGTCAAACCATTTTAAAGTCTTACACAACTTCCTCATCTGTGAAATCCCATCCTGGGTGAGATCACGCAGGCTGTTTTAAAGACAGAGGAAGAGAAGAGGGGAAGAGGTCAATGGAACAAGGAGGAAGGGCTGGAAGTGGCTAATCTCCTGGGAGAGAAGAGTTTAATAAAAACATCAAGTGAAGGTAGGTGGTTGATTATGCTTTGCAAATAGTCCAAATCTGAAATTGTTACACTTATTCATGTAAACATAATCATTTTCAATGCATTTTATTGAGACTTTAAATCATAGATCAGCACTGATTTCCAAATGTTTGTGAAAAGGAAGAAAAATATCTGGAATTTATTTATTTGAAGTGTGCTGTGCATTTATATTCTGACCTCATGAATCAATTCTCTAATAAATTACCTTTGACTGCATATACTGCCACAGGATGTTTGAGATTAAAGCTTCACACAAGGAGATTAGGAGAAAAATATATATATTTAAGCTGTTCAAGGTGAAGGCTTTCTCCAAGCAGCTGGATGTTCTTGTGACCACAATTGCTCAAATTATTCAGAAATTTAAGATCCATGGGACTCTAGCCAACATAGAGGTGGCCACAGGAAAATAAATTATGACAAATCAAAGAAACGGATAATAGGAATGCTAACATCAAAGCCCCAAAAGAGATAAAAGGTGAACTACAAGCCTAATGAACATCATTATCAGATCGTCCTTGTTTGAAACAAAGTGGACTTAATGGGAGACAACCAAGGAGGACACCATTGTTGAAAACAAATCATAAAAGCAAAGCGAGACGGGAATTTTTAAATTATGTTGACCAGCTATAAAACTTCTGGGGGAATGTCCTACGGATAGATGAGACAAACATTGAACTCTTTGCCAAGGAACAACAGCTCTAATTAAACTGAAAGAGAATAAAGCATATAAAGAAAAGAGCACTGACCCTACTGTGAAACATGGAGGTGTCTCTTTTATGCTCTGGGCTGCTTTGCTTCATCTGATAGAGGGCCTCGTCAATATTGGCAGGGTTTAATGAAATCTCAAGACTCTAGAGAGAAATGTGCTGCCTTGTGTCAGAAAGCTTGGTCCGAGACGCAGGTCATTGATCTTACATCAGATAAATAGCCAAAATGCATTGCTAAAAACGCTAAAAAAAAAACTAAATATTGGACTATTCTGAAGTGGCCTTCTATGAGCCCTGACCTAAATCTTTAGAGGATCTTTGAGATAAGGTGAAACACTCTGCGTGGAAAAAGCAGCCTTCAACAACTGGGGCAGTTTGCTGATGTAGTCAATGAGGCCAACGTACCTGCTGAGAGGAGCAGACTTCCTATTAACAGTGACGAGAATCGCTTGATTGCTGTGATTGCCTGAAGGAACAATAAAATATTAGGAGTAAGGGTGCCATCATTTTTGTCCGGGCCTGTCTCATGATTTTTTTATTTGTTTGTTTATTATTTAATTAATTCTTTTGAGGTATGGCTGAAAATAAATGTCGGACTTTCATTTATGGGGCACAAACAAATGTGTATAGTGGTTGTAAATACGGCAGCACTATATCAAAAAGACAACAACTGTGCATATCTACCGTGCTGTAGACCAATAAAATGTCTGACCAGGCGGATGTTCTCTAGCAGTCCTTGTATTGTGCAGACTTTTAGGCTGTTGTTCATATAAATTCTAACATAGGAAAAAACGTTTTTGTGTTCCTTGGTCTTCTTGGTGCTGCTTGTTCACCAGTGTTCTGTAAAAAGCTCCCAGGTTTTCACTGAAAACTGGATACTGCGATTAAATGCAGTATCCAGATTATTGGATAAAATAAATGGAGCAGTTTAGAATTTTCCATCAACAATTTTTAAGGATTTTCATTGCAAATGATTTTTGAAACATTTTAAACTGCTTCATTATAATTTATTCCTTTATTTTATTCTGTTACATAAAATACATTAAAATGAATGTATTTAATGAAAATACATTCATTTGCAGACTTACATATGCAAACTTGCATTAAAATAATTGTAACTCTTTCAATACTGGTGACATTTTCAACTTGTTTTCTGAAGTATATTAGTGCACGTTGGTTCCAGACCCCCAGATTGCATTGTTTGCATATACTCCTTCACTTAGGAACCGCGGCATTTCTATGCAAACGACTGTGGTGTATGGAATGGTAATAGCTAAGAAAGTAATATTAAGATTATGGAAAACAGACAAGGTTCCTCTGTTTAAAACGTGGTTAAGGGATTTTATTGAGATTCTTCATTTGGAGAAACTGCGGTATAATGTTCTGTAGTATCTGGCAGCCATTTTTGGACCATCTGTCTCAGTCTTATACTGATCCGGATGCTCGCTCAGCCTCTGAGTATGCCACCCCTGCCTTTATGGACAGGTTGTACCATCCTAAAGTGTAAATGGTAATCAGTGCGGTGTGACCAGTTATTTAGATAATTTCCCCTTTTTTTTTCTTTTTTTTTTTCTTTTTTTTTTCAGTTGGTGTATATTTTTGTTGTCACATTAATAAGAATATGTTTTTCTTATATAGTTATTGTATTTGTTAAAGGTCCAGCAGATTCTATAACAATTTCTTCCCCACTGCCATTAGACTGCTGAATGTTATTGTAAAATGGGTTTTTTTATTGTATTTTATGATATTTGTTATATTTTATTATTTAAAAACAAAAAACTGAAATGTTAGAACTGTAAATATAGTCATGTGTTTATATTACTGTTTTTATGTATTTTTTTAGTGTTTTCAAGGCTGCATTTAAAAAATTAAATTGTCTAGAGAACTGTTCTTTACGAAATTTCTTTTTCTTTACACTTATGTATAAAAAAATGACAAAATAAATCTGTCTAAGTCTAAATATATTTCTTTATGAATCATATATAAATATATGATTCATAAAGAAAAAATAATACATTAACCTGTGTGGTGTTATATAACAAATGAGTTGAAAGCGAAAGGGACATGGTTCTTTATAAAGTCTGTTTTTTTTTAATAGAGTTGGACTAAAAGCTCCCAGTTTTTTTTTACCTAGGTGAGGATTTCCCTAAAAGCTGCTGTGAGAGCACCGAGCCGCTGCCTAGAAAACAGTGGACTGCTGAGCCACCGAGTGCTGTGCTCCAGATGCTGGCCAACGCCAGCCTGGTCTCATCAGACAGCATGGCTGCAGCTGACCAGACCAGCTCCACCCATGGAAGTACGAAAGCAGACAGAATTTAATTTCCGCAGCGGTATAAAAGAAAACTCTGGAGATATGATCCCAACGTTCTTTCCTTGTTTTTCCAGGTGAATCAGAGGCCGGCAGGCAGAGAAAACAATGGGTGCGGGATCCTCCTGAGAGGATCCTGAGCCTCCTGGAGAAGGCCCAGCTGAACAAGGCTTTCAGCACCTTTTTGATTCACAAAGGAGGTCAAGAGCATCTTTTTTTTCTTTTTCTTTTCCAGACATCAGATTAATATAATTCCAAATGGTACCAAGGGCATTATATGATGCTGTTATTTCCATTTTCAGATGAAAATCCTCTAGTTGGGCCCCTCTCCCGGAAGCAGGGCGATGAGACTGACGGCCTTAAGCCAGAGGTAGTTGTAGACGAGTACAGACTGCAGCCTCGCTCTGATGATGAAGACACGTAAGACTGGTTGCTGTTTTTAGCACATTTTGTAACATTGCCTATGATAAATGATCTATCTAGTCATATAGAGTATAAGTATCATTAAAAAGGGGCAAATGCTTGAAAAAAATCACAGAATAAACTAATAATTCTTTTTCCAGTTTTCTTATTCTATTATGATCCTAATCATACATTAAAATTGGCTTAAAATCAGGCTAACGGAATAGCTTTGCAAAAGGTCCAAACTCAACATTTGTATTTTTTTAGGGCAGGTTTGCCCTGGGAAGCCAGCCAATTATGCACATATGGTTAAGGTATAACAAGCCAAGGGAAAATGAACTAAATATTATTGGTGATATCTATTGCACACAACTCTATTTTCTGAATTTGAAGTTTATTTTAAAACCTTCCACCCAGGAACAAGATCAGTTAGAATTGATCCCTGAAAACCCAAGAATAGGATATCAATGCCTTTGGCGAGTAGAGGGAAACGTCTTAACGCACACGTATTATAGTCACAATAATGCATGCTTCCTTTGGAAACCGCCTTCTCTCAATTGGATTAAATGTGCACATTCATTGTCTGTCTTTAGAATTAGATATGTTTGACTTTCTAAGCCCGTCTCTATGTCTGCTTAAAAAAAAATAAACAGTTCAGACGTTGAATATTGATGCGTTGAGGGAGAACTTTGAGAGTATCGGAGGAATGATTGGAATTTGTTAGCTTTGCATCATTTCTATTAAACAGCTCTGCTATAAAAACACTGTAAAGAAATGAATCACATTTTGTCTTCTGTCCTCACAGGGACTTTGAGGAAGAATCTCCTTCTGACTGGATGGATGAAATTGAGAAAATATTTTCAGAACACTAAAGCCTTGTTCCTTCAAACCTCACACAAATGAAAACACTAACATTTTGAATGTGCCAAACTTTTTTTCTTTGTTTTTTGTCTAAGTACCGTAAGATAAATGCCATTTGGGCAAAAGAGGTAAATTTGAATAAAGATTTGGAGAGAATGTCATCTGTAAATGTTAATTAAAGTTAACATTTTTATGAGTTATGAGTTTTCTGTGATTTCTTTTTCTGAACTAAGCTGAACATCTGCTGCTGGCTGTTCAGGTAATTAGTGATAACATTCCCAGAAGAATGAAGGCCATTCTAAACGATAATGTTCTGCTCTTTGGGAAAGCAGGAAATATTAAGCCCTGAGAATCCCATTTCCTCTGCAATATAAAAAGTAGACTAAACATATTCCGTCTTTAGTATTGTTTCGCTTTCATGCTCTTAAAGTGACCCTATCATCACACACATCTGGCTGTTGCTTTGTTTTTAATTGATGTCACTAGACATGTTTTAAGTTTTTCCTCTTCCTGCATTCATCACACGCCACTAGGTGGTGCTAAAGCTGCTGCCAGGACTTGCATTGAAAAGAAGTCATAAATAGCTTAAATGGAATAAAACATGAGTGCATCTGGTGGTTATGTGTAAATTAAAGAGAGGTGTCTTAGTATGGATACAAAAGGAATCACTTTAGTTTTCCAAATTAAAAGATTGACAGAGTGGAGGAAAAGGGAACAATGGGAAACCACAAGCTAGAAACAAAGCCAAACCCTAGCCTCGCCCAAGACATTTTGGGCTCATCAGGATGTAGACTAAACCATAATGATTGTGATTCACCAACAGTTTCTCCAGGGATGGATTATCCTTGTTGCCAAGGTTCACCCTGAGAAGGAATCCTGCTAATGGTTGATGGGAGTTTCCTTTGTCAGAGGAGTTTCAGTCTGCCGAGGATAGTTTTTTTTTGTTTGTTTGTTTTCCAATAAGGAAGCTCAGTGCAACAGCTCTTCAGCTTATCTTGAATTTACAAAAAAAAAAATCCACATCCAGAGTTCATAGTCCGACCCCCTCCCTGTTTTTTTTTTTTTGCTCATTTCCCCCTCTAACCCCCTGAAGAATGTTCAGTGAAGATACAGATAAACTGGAGCTGCAAAGTTAACTCACAGTGTCACCAAGTTCTGTGTCCTGAAGATAGGAGGGTCTCCCATCAGTGGTCGAGATGCATTCAGCAGTGTCCTCACAGCTCAGCAGCATTACATTAATAACTCCCATTTGTGATCCCAGAGCTTTACTTACTTTTTACATTTGAAATGGGAAAGAATGTTTCAAAAGATAACAAAGCAACATAAAAGGTAAATTTTGGTGCATTTTGATTTAAAAAAAAAGGGTTTGGTTTACATCTTTTAAATGAAAAATGGGATGTAGAAAGAAATTTTCCTTGTTTACATTGGTGTTTGGATAGTGTTTTTTTTCCATCATTACCTTGAAGTTGGGATGGATCCTCTAACATGAACATTTTCCTGGGTTGGCCCCTCCTGGGCGCCTTTGTTCTCGGAGTCCCTTTGGATGTCTGGGGCTTTTGGTCCCCGGCACTTGCCTTGGTGCTCTGGAAGGGCTTCAGCTCTTCACAACCTTTTTTCCTTTGGACAAACTTTACATTCACAAGTGCACTCTCACAAAACTACAGGTGCTTGGTTCCAGGTATTTAGAGATTCGCTTCCATACAGAAAGCCCTGATTCTTATCTTCAACTACCACAGTATACATGTCAGATTAATTAATACCACTTATACTCCAGCGATGGTATCAAGGTGTTACTTTATTGTATCTCTTATACTATATCCATTGGTTGTGCTGTTCTTTTTACATCTCTTTGCAGGTGATAAAGCAGACTGAAGACGTTTTGTTGTTATCTCATTTTATTTTCATCTCCATTTTTCCTTTCCTGTTCTACTTACATTGCGTTGTTCATATAATCTGTAATACTACCTGCATGAAATATAATAAAGCTATTTATATGCATAAATCAAGCGGAACACTATGGCGATAACCGTACTGCTCCACTTGTGAAAGCAAAAACTGTTGGGCTCTCTTTTTGGCATCAAGGCAATTATTATTATTGCCACATTGCCAGACAGGACACTGTAAAAATAAAAAAAAAGTAAAACACGGACATTACTGCCACTTGCAAGAAACATGTTGATAGGAAGGTTCTACACTGAGAAAAAGTTGCTTGTGTCAAAATCACAATACCTAAAAGACAAATGTCTAAAATGAACGAGACTGAGTTTTTTTTACATTATACTCTGCTTTTTATTTGGTTTTGACTGTGAAGGAGCCATAATCCACAGGTTTCTCTTTGCCTAATAAGTCAGGAAATACCTTGAAAAAAATGTACAATCATTTAGCTCCCCCATAGTTTATGATGGAGAATATTAGACCACAAAGAATGTACGCTAAAAGTAACTGTGGAGTTTAGATGATGCTCTGCTGGTTAGAAAGAGCCCAAGATGTGCCGAGAAAATCTTTACCAGACCATTATGCCACGCCCAGCAGCTTGGTTGGGTAGGACCACACTTTCCTGTTAAACGTCTGACCATATATCTGAATACATCTGAATATTGAAAGTAAAGTTCATCAGACCAGACTTTAAAGCCACATTAAACTGTCCACATCCTGGCACAGCGTGCTGCTTATGTTCCTACCAAAACTAATGTTTCAGTAAATTCACCCTAAAAACCGATCAATACAGTCAATACAACCAGAAAATAGGTTAAATTTTATCAATCTGGTTGGTAGTTTTGTATCCAACCAATATTTTGGTTTAAAAAAAACAATCTAATTTGGTAGTGTTTTTAACCAAGCTATATTGATAAAAGGAAAACCCAATACAATTTTTTTTTTTTTTTTTGACTAAAATATTGTTTAGTTAGTTTAACAACAATAAAATCCAGGTTCAGGTCTTGAATCACCAACCCTGTGGTTGTGGGTAAGCTCCTGCATCCAATGTCACTGTCCCTGCTAATGCTTCTTCAATACAACAAAATAAAAGTCTTTAGTAAAATTTTCTCAGAATAAGTGTTTTTTTTATTATTGGACAGGTAAGTGAGAAACGTTGCCAATGGAAAAAGAAAATGTACATTAAAAAAAGGGGAAAAAAAACAACTGCAGTCTCTTATCTCAAGTGCATGAAATCTAATTATCTTATGTTTAGGGTAAAAAATATCATTCAATTGGCAGATTATCTTACTTTCCTACTCAAATTAAGTGTAAATAAACTTATTTAAAGACATTTAAAAAAATAATTTAGCAGTATTTGAATTTATTAACAGTTAATACTAATGTGACAACCAATGTTAAAGCCAAGATTTGAATTCCATACACGTACACATCACTGTGATTGTTCTTTAAGTCCATACACACTACACTTGAATAAAGCCAAACAGTCATAGTAGTAAACAGTCAGTTACCATTTTTATTTGGTCTTTGTTTAATCAATAATGGCTTAATCAGTTTCTGACCAATATTTTGGTTAATCTAACCAAAATTAGAAACTAGATTGGATGTTTTTCCAACCAATCCAGAGTGTAAGGTGTTCTCCTGATGCTGTGAATAAAACATGCAAGAAAAAGCTTAAAGGAGTTTTTTTTTTTTTTTTTTTCGCGTGACTAGCTTAACATTATGGTCACAAAAACTTTGACACAGAAAAGTAAAACAGCCACAAACTTCAGCGGTTAGTGTAGACGGGGTGCAAATAAAAACCAAAAAGCATCACTGCATGTGACTGACCTTGCTTCCCACAGCTGATAGAAAATAAAACTTAATATTGCCTTTTTGTTCAGATCAGTGGATCAAAACCTTTATAGTTTGCATGAAGTTATGCTGACTTTTATGTTTTTCTTTTCTTTTGACTTTGTCTGAAAAAGTACAGAGAGCTTGTGGAATTGTTTTTTATTAAATTTAGCTCAGAATGATACGATGAACAAAGGTTTCCTCTTGCAGGAAGGATGTTGAGTTATGTGTGTCATGTGTTGTCTCAGTGCTCATAAATGAGCCAAAGAAAGCTGTGTTCCTGGATGAGATGCATCAGTGGCTCTCTACACTCCTACTTTTATAACTCCTGGAGTTTTTTACATCAGAGGGGGAAAAGTAACTTTAATCTGAGCGGGTCCATTTATTATAAGCCATGTTTTATTTGGGGTTTTAGAAGCATGCCCGTGCTTGAACCTGCACATGTTGACAAAAATGTGTGAAAACCACACGGCTTCAGTATGTACAAACACGCAAACTAAATCTGTGAAACTGAACTATGATGTAGCGTTTCCTCCTCACTCTCAAACGTGCAACATCCTGTATTTGAGTGTGGACACTTGAGTCAGAGTGAAGCTTTATTTTATTACTTTGGCATCTAATCTTAAGCAAGTCACTTATTCTCTTCCTGCTGGTTCTGGTGACCTGATAGCAAACAATCAAGAAACATCCTCTCTTATCAAATGATGCACTAAAGGACCCCTCATTTTGTCTATCTGGCAACTTGTCTGCACACGTCGCCCTCCCTCAACTGCTGTCATTACTTTTGATGAAATGTTGGTGCTGGCTATCTGCAGCAATCTCTATTCCCCTTTTGTCTCTGTTTTTGCTCTTGCTTTCAATTGTCCTGAGTTTCACTCAGGAAGAGCTCTGCAGATGCAAGATGACCCAATGATCTCTGTCTGGCTACTGATGCTCGGAAAGCCATTTTTCTATCAGAACCCTCTGTTGCCTCTCTAACCCCCCCTCTTTTAGTTTGCACGGTTAAAGAATCAGATCTACATTTGGAGTTATGCTGCATTAGCACTTTGGTTAATATTTATAGCCTCACTGGTTACTTAAGCATGAGTCACCCATTAAAGAGGGCTGCTGTCTGTTCTTGATGGGGAGCAGCTCTTCCTGTTAATAACAAAGCACTTAAGAGCTGCTGTCGGGAGTCTCTTTGCAACTATAAATACGAGGCTGTCATTGTTATGATTATTTCTAGCGCTCCACAGCGACCCTCCATTGTGTGCTCGCTAGTGTTTTGTTGCTCTGTGTCACACAATAGAGATTGGCGTGGCTAAACTTTTTTTTTGTGAGTTGGAACAATTTATTAAAAGAGAAAAAGATCAGTAACAGTTAAATTTAGATATGGGTAATGTAAATTAGGAAAAAGTTGGATTTAGTTTAAAATGGGATTATCTTTAGCACTCACTTTTGTCCAGATGAGCCAAACAATCTTTAGTTGGGGTTAGATGTTCTTCAAGCTTTTTTCCCCTTCATTGTATATCGCAACAGCAAAAAATAATCAAATTTAAATGGATTCTGCTCATTCAAATCGGAAAACTGCTCAAACATCCAGATTAAGCCGAAAAGGTTATTAATTGCCACAAAAGTTTGTGGATTAATTGCAATTTGCTGGAGAACGGTTATTAAAATATGAGTTGGTGTGCATATTACAGTCCGGAGGTCTAATGTTAATGCTGTGTAGATAATACAGAAATATGAAAGAATATGAGCTTTAGTCTTCTCTTCTAGGGTTTAAAACACACCACTCACCCTGAAAAAAGTAGCTACTGTTCTAATGCATCTGAGATGTACTTCACATGGATTTTAGCACCAAAAATACCGTCGTGTTAAAACCTGTCTGCATTCAGTGCCATTTCCTGTGAAGTTCAAGTAAAATCTGTGATGGATAAAATCGTTAATCTTAGAGATTTTGTCAAGACATAGTAAAAGGATAGCTGCCAAATTTAGTATTAGCCCAATTTTTTTTTTATTTTTTTGTTACTGTGGTTGACATTATATAATTACTTGTGTTTTTTTTTTATTCTCCTGTCTTCTTTGAAGTACTCTGTCACTGCATAGTTCAGCCATTAAGTTCATTCAAGAAAAGCAAAACACGTAAAAAAAAAAAAAAAGGCTTGTAGTTAGATTCTCACTGCTCCAGTGAGTCATCAACACCTAATTCTAAATTTAATGAGGGAATATTTTATGAGTCAGTTTGTTATGACATCGTAACCATTGATACAAGCCAGGCATCTGCATTAAACCAGGTGACAAACAATGATCATAAATGTATTAGTCCTGCCTTTTCCTATACACAGATTTGAATGGACAAACATCTAGTCACTCAATTAACTCAGGTTCTGACTGTCAGAGTAATATTTTTATCAAATAAAGAGGATATTAGAAAAGCATTTGTAGTGCATTGCAAAACTGTTCACACACTATAAACCCTTTCTCATTTTGTTATGATGTAACCACAAACTTTAAGTCATGAGGAATTCATGCGTTGGACCAACCCAAAAAAGTGCCTGATTCTCAATTGAATCTCTCGGCCTTTCTATAATCGTCCTGATTTGCCATCCTCCTCATGAAACAGGGTGTTGACAGCATCTTACTGTGGATTGACAAAAAAAATCAAAAATCTTAAAACTAACTTCCACCTATTTGGCAAAACAAACCCCATATAATTTAGTATATAAATGTGCAAAGCTGGTAAATAAATAACTCAAAAGACTTGATTCCATTTATTTGTATCAAACTAAAAGAGGCTAAATATACATACTTTTCTATAATTTTATGGGAATTTTTGTAAAAACTTTTTTTTTTAAACTCAAATAATACTTCTTGACAATTATGCACTACTTTATTTTGATAACACAATTTTTTTTTTTCAATTATACTGATGCCTTTGAGGTATTAGATTGTCTCAAAATTGGATGGTAGAGTATGAATACTTTTTCCAGGCACAGAATAATCTAGACAGGTTAGACATTGGCTGAAGAAAAAGAATTGTAATTTGTTTTGGCACACTTTTAATCACATCTTTTATATTTTCACTTCTGAATATGAAGTTCTTAAGAAGATGTTTTCA